TCTAAAAGAAATTTCTATTTATATATATAGATTTACTGGATAGAATTACTAATAAAGAGTGGTAAGAAATCTCGTAGTCATGCTTCAAGAGAATTGCTTGCCTTGAGATACGTATTCTCACTTTTTGGAACTAAAAAAAGAAAAAGAACACAAAATTTTGTTAACTTGATTTGATACGGAAGGGAGAAAATTTCTCCCTCGAAATACAATTGAATCAAATATAAACAAAGACGAGAAGCTTTGCAAAATTTATTTCAGAAAATTGCACCAATAATTACATTACCAAAAATTTCAACTCCCGCAATGCATGTAATTATTGTTGCCTGTGCGTAATGAAAGTTCAGAGCTTTTTATTACTCAGTTGCTCAGCCATCCCAAACAATTGCGATGGTGACCAATATTTCCACTAAAACACTTTTAGCGCAATTGTTGATAGTGGGATCCCTTTATATATATATACACATACATATATATATATATATATGCAAATATATTACTTGGTAGAAATGAATTTGATAGTGGGTAGTTGAATTATGATTGAGGCCATTTGTAATTTAAACTATTGTTTTCTACAAGAACATAGTTTGATTTTTTCTACAATCACCATTTCCATAAACCACTTTAATAACGTAAACACGTAACAATTCTAGGACTGAATAAATTAAAATTTAAAAAATAATAAATATATACAAGGACAAGTTAAGAACTTAATAATCCTATTTAAAACCAAAAAAAAAAAAGATGTTGAATTTAAAATATAATAAGTTCAAATTACAGATGATAATATTATAAATTACCCTAAGTTGCAGATCTAATCTCTGATTTCTCATTTTCATAGTTAATACAGAGAAAAGGGACATTCCCCAAGTTGCAACAAGCTTAGCTGCCTAAGAGTTAAAGGACATATTAACACACCAATGTAGAGTTGATTGTTCATTTTCAGCAGAATGCATGAATTTTGAAAGCAACACTGACAGAGTTTTTTCTCCCCCTTTTTTTTTTTTTTTTTTTTTTTTTTTTTCTCTTCATATTTTTGTTATTGTAGATCATGACCTGTAAAGTATAAAAAGAATAATAAATTGGCTTTTAAGGGAATAAATTGGCTTATTTTTGCCCCACCATTAAAATTTATCATTTATATATCTTATCTTTTTAGGGGGGATCCTTGAGATAAAATGGACCTTCATATTTTATATGGCCAGCAGACTATCTGGATCTCTTGGCAAAACTTGTGGGATTCCTAAGATCTATTTCATCTTTTTAGGTGGGATTCTTGGGATATATGGAAGTAGACGTCCAAAATTATATGCATCTCTAAGCAAACTTGTGGAATTCTGTGCTTTGAAGAGTTAAGAAGATAGAGAGTCAAATACTCAAAAGACTAAGGGACCTACTAATTTATCGAAAATTTAAAATGATTTGATTTCCTAACAAGTCATTATAACTATTTCGTCTATGATTAGGTCGGCCAGAGCAATTTTTTGGACGTATGTTTAATCAGTCTCACAATAAACAGAGCTATTAAGAGTTACTTTCTCTTTTACTGAAAGAAAATGGTGCAAAGGGATGATCACTGTTGAGAATTACCTAGGAAATTTCTGAAAGATTATGACGACGACCAGAGTAGCTAATCCTCCTTGAATCTCATTTGCTCGAAAACATTCTTATAGTGATATGATTCAATACTAAATAAATGCAAAAGACACTCCGTTTGGAAGAAAAGGTGAATCTGTCATTCATATTCGTAATCACCGTTATAATGTATTTTATTTAAAACCAGAAGTCATTCATAGCCATTTGGCTCCTGTTCTTTTTCCCTAATGTCTAGCTTGTGCAGCCTGAGATGTCAAACTTCACTGTCCTTGGAATATTCAGTGACAAAACAAAGTCTAATATTCTAGTATAGAGGCATAAACAGGGATTTAGTAGTAAATAATGTTTTTATTTGAGAGAGAGGCAAGATGGCAAGATCCACATAATAACCCTAACATATAGCTCCAAATGCCTTTCCATCTCTGGCCCACTTTACAGGGATTTATTATGACTATGACTTAGACCTGGTATCATCATAAACTAACGCATATAAGACCCACAATGACCTACACATTCAGCATCCAAGCGGAAAAGAACTGGCAAGCAAATGCCCAAGAGGATCTCTACTTCTCACAGAAATTTCGGAAGATGAAGATATTCCAGTTGAGGCTTCCCCATATAATCCTGCAACTGGTTATCTACTGTACATACCTGGTGCAGGCAGACATGGTAAATCAGCAACTCAGAGAGACTTACTTAGTTCACATGGATAAGTCCAGTATGCCAGAAAGTTTCGATGATCATTTTCAGTGGTTTGAGTCCTCTTTGAAATCAGTGTCAGAGTCTGCATCCATGCTTTACACCTACAACAATGTAATCCATGGATTCTCAACAAGGCTAACAGCTCAGGAATACGAGTCACTCCAAAAACTACCAGGAATTATCTCTGTTCTTCCTGAAGTGATATATAAGCTTCACACAACTCGGACTCCGCAGTTTCTTGGGCTAGGAAAGGGTCCATCTTTATTTTCTGCATCAAATTCAGCAAGTGAGGTGATTGTGGGAGTATTGGACACTGGAGTATGGCCAGAACTGAAAAGCTTTGATGACACAGGACTCGGATCAGTTCCAAGTAGCTGGAAAGGCGAGTGTGAGGTGGGAAAGAACTTCAACTCGTCAAGCTGTAACCGCAAACTAATTGGTGCTAGGTTTTTCTCAAAAGGGTATGAAGCAGCTTTTGGACCAATTGATGATGCAACAGAATCAAGATCACCAAGAGATGATGATGGCCATGGAACTCACACTGCTACTACAGCAGCTGGTTCAGCAGTTCCCGGGGCTAGCTTGTTTGGCTATGCCTCTGGGACAGCACGTGGGATGGCTACACAAGCCCGAGTAGCTGTTTATAAGGTGTGTTGGCTTGGTGGGTGTTTTAGCTCTGACATAGTAGCAGCCATGGACAAAGCCATTGAAGATGGTGTGAATGTTATATCTATGTCCATAGGAGGAGGATTATCAGATTATTACAGAGACACTGTTGCCATTGGAGCTTTCACTGCTATGGCACATGGAATTCTTGTATCCTGTTCGGCAGGAAATGGTGGGCCCAGTCCAGGCAGTTTATCCAATGTCGCACCTTGGATAACTACTGTAGGTGCCGGAACTTTGGACCGTGAATTCCCTGCCTATGTCATGTTAGGAAATGGAAAGAACTACTCTGGCGTGTCACTTTATAGTGGGAAACCGCTAGCTGATTCTTTTGTACCAATGGTTTATGCTGGTAATGTAAGTAGTACGACAAGCGGTAGTCTTTGCATGACTGGCAGTCTGATTCCAACAAAAGTTGCAGGGAAAATTGTGGTATGTGATCGAGGAGGAAACTCTAGGGCACAAAAGGGATTGGTGGTGAAGGATGCAGGAGGTGTAGGGATGATACTAGATAACACAGAATTATATGGTGAAGAACTAGTTGCAGATGCACATCTCTTGCCCTCTGCAGGTGTGGGCCAGAAAACAGGTTATGCAATTAAGAACTATCTGTTTTCAAGTTCTAATCCTACAGCCAAAATTACATCTGGAGGCACAGAGTTAGATGTCCAACCATCACCAGTGGTGGCAGCATTCAGTTCTAGGGGTCCCAATCCAGTCACTCCTGAAATACTCAAACCAGACATCATAGCACCGGGAGTGAATATCCTTGCTGGTTGGACTGGTAAAGCTGGTCCTACAGGGTTGGATAGTGACGTAAGAAGGGTGAGCTTCAATATCATCTCAGGCACATCCATGTCATGCCCCCACGTAAGTGGGTTAGCAGCACTTCTCAAGGCTGCTCACCCAGAATGGAGCCCAGCTGCCATTAGATCTGCCCTGATGACCACAGGCTACACAACATACAAGAGTGGTGAAGCCATACAAGACATTGCCACAGAAGAACCATCAACACCATTTGATTACGGTGCTGGACATGTGGATCCAGTGGCAGCCCTTGATCCTGGCCTTGTCTATGATGCGACTGTCAGTGACTACCTCTACTTCCTCTGTGCCTTGAACTACACTGCATCTCAGATAAAGGCAGCTACAAACAGAGACTTCACTTGTGATCCAGGCCATAAATACATCCTGGGGAATCTTAATTATCCATCTTTTGCTGTTCCTCTGGCAACAGCCTCGGGTGAAGGTGGTGGTGCTGATGAATCAAGCACCTTGAAATATACTAGAACTCTGACTAATATGGGCACGCCTGCAACATACAGGGTCTCGGTATCTTCACACACAACAGCAGTGAAGATCTTGGTTGAGCCAGAATCACTTAGTTTCAGCGAGCAGTATGAGAAAAAGAGCTATACAGTGACATTTGTTGCCAACTCTATGCCATCTGGTACGAATAGCTTTAGTCGATTGGCTTGGTCAGATGGGAAGCACGTCGTTGGCAGCCCAATAGCTTTCAGCTGGACTTGATTGCCATCACTTATGCTCAAATAACTCCAAATTGTGGACTGTACAGCACCAAAACTGCGTGCAATTTATCAATCTTATTGCATAGTAAATCTCCCATTGTATTTCACACCTTTTTCGTCACCGAGTAGCAAGCAGACTCACTTGTGTAACAGCTCTTTACACTATCAGACAAAAACAAAGCGAACTTCGGGGAAAGTAATTATATAGATAATTGCACAAGGAATTGAAATGTGCATTCAGATGACCTCCCACAAGGCAGATCATTTGCTCTATGGTCACCCACAATTTAGAAGTCACATGAGCAAAGATATTTTAGAAGGCATCAAGTAGCCTCATAGACCAATCTACTAATGCACATAGTGAGTTAGTAACTCCATCTGACCTTCCCAACAGAAAATATGGCAATCAACTAAAATTTATTCTT